GGTACATCCTTTGGATGCACTTCTGGGGAGGAAACTGGTGGACAGAGGAAGAAGCCAAACTGTGATACAGGCCAAATAGCAGCCTCAGCAGAACCCCAAAGGGAACTCTGGAGCCAAAATGGACCTTCAGAATTGTCTCCAGTTGGGCTGGGGATGTGGCTCAAGTGGTAGTGTGCTCACCTGGCATGTGTGAGGCACTGGGGTTCGATCCTCAGCACCACATAAAAATAAAATAAAGTTATAAAAAACATTGTCCTACAAATGTGAAATAAATTAAAAAACAAAAAAAAATTGTCTCTAGTTGGGCCAAGGTGAGTGGAAGTTTATGTTCCTTCACTAATATATTACTAGATATGAGTGACCCTAGAGGTTCATTAAGAGAACAGCTTCTTGGTCGTAGTAAGTTTGCAATTGAAGCAATCTCATAAAGGTCTGAAGATATCAGTACTCCTAGCAGCAGATATGACCAATATTTCACTGGAAGGGGATCTGGGTAGTGTACCAGAGTAGTCAGCAAATGTAGTCAAATTTGAGCTGTGGCTCAAGTGATTGATTGTACCAGAAAATGGGAATCCAGAACTTCAGGGCTAGTTATCATAGGCAAATCAGGCCACCTAAACTTTGTTGCATCTATCTAAGAATCAATTTATTTCAAGATCTGACAGGAAGGGGCAGATGTGAACACTGTGGGACCTGGGACCTGGCCCTAGTCCTATCTAGCGAGGTGAAACCAAGCTAGAGTCAAGTCAAGGGTGGATGTGATACGAGACTGGGCCTGTATGTGGAACATCTGAATGGTGGCTGGGTACATCATCCAAGACATTCAGCAAAAGTCAGTCAACATAGGGCATCTAAAATGAAACAAAAGTCAGATGAGGTAATACTTGGAAGTCTGTGAAGTCTGTTGGAATGTAGAAGATAAGGCACTGGGATAAAAATGATAGCAACTATCCTTTATTAAATGCTTATGTCTATCAAGGACCCTGTTAAGCACTTTAAAGATACCATCTCATTTAATGCTTAAAATTCTGTGTGGTAGGTTTTACTATATATATATTTTTTTTAACCAGGGATTGAACTCAGGGAGGCTTAACCACTGAGCCACATCCCTAGCCATTTTTATTTTTTATTTTGAGACAGGATTTCACTAATGTTCCTTAGGGCCTTGCTAAAGTTGCTGAGGCTGGCTTTGAACTTGCAATCCTCCTGCATCAGCATTCTGAGCCACTGGGATTACAGGCATGTGCTACCGTGCCTGGCCTATTTCCATCTTTTATGAGCAAAGAAATCAGAACAAAGAAGAACTTACTCAAAATTATATAGCTGGTAAGTGGTAGAGATTCTTGTAACTGACTAAATTCTAGCTTACTAGATATGTGACCTGGGACAAATTACTTAACCACTGTCTTCCTTGTTTTTTTCATCTTTAAAATGGAAAAAAATAACAACACCTACTTCTTACAGTTGTTATGAAGATTAAATGCATTAATATCATTAAATTACCAAGATCAATGCCTGGCACAGCTTAAGAATTATGTAATTGTCAATAAGTGAATAGGTCACTGTTAACTCCTAACTTATATTTTAGACTAGTATACTGCCCTGGCAGGACTCAGATTATTATTTTTTTAATATACATTTTTTTTAGTTATCAATGGACCTTTATTTTATTCATTTATTTATATGTGGTGCTGAGAATCAAATCCAGGGCCTCACACATGCTAGGTAAGCACTCTATCACTGAGCCATAACCCCAGCCCAGGACTCTGATTCTTAGGATGTGCCTGGAGAGAGCTGGTCAGTAGCTAAGATATTAGATAACTAACCATTCATTGATTCACTCAATTATTTACAAATATTTATTGAGCAACTCTCTATATGTGCTAGGCAATTTTTCTAGTCAAGATAAAGCAATGAACAAAATGGTCAAAGTCCTAGCCATCGCCAAGGTTCTATTTTAGTAGGGAATGGTAATAAACAAAATAATTGATAAATATATAAATAATTACAGGTAATCAGAAGAGAAATTGTTACTAGGTAGCACAAGATCCCACCCAGGGAGGAAGAGGCTAGGCCATAATGCTTTCTGCTCCAGAAATATTAAGTCAACTTGTCAGGAAAAGAAGTTTTATTCAAGACCAGTTTTGAAGGAAAATGGAAGAAACTTAATTGCTCCAAAGGTACTATCTCCCCAAATCCCTGAAAATCAGCACAACTTTTAAAAGAGAGGAGGCAGTGGATGAGGTGGCACAAGCCTGTAACACCAGCAATTTGGGAGGCTGAGGCAGGAGGATTGTGAGTTTAAACACAGCCTCAGCAACTTAGTGAGGCACTAGGCAACTCAGTGAGACCCTGTCTCTAAATAAAATACCAAATAGGCACTAAGCAACTTAGCAAGACTCTGTCTTAAAGTTTTTTAAAAAAAGGGATTGAGGAGTGGCTCAGTAGTTAAGTGCCACTGGGTTCAATTCCTGATACCAAAGAAAGAGAGATGGTGGGTGGGTGGGGTGGGGAGAGACAACTGTAGATTAATAAAATAAAAAGTGAGAAATATACATAGGCAGATATTTAGGCAGCCTGTGTTAGGCTGGGGCAGGAGGTAATCTTAGCTCCCATCTTCTTTGTCACCTATGGTGGTGGGGGGGGGTCACAGCCCCTCCATCTTCCTTCACTCATCAGGAAAGGCAACTTCAGTTTGTTTCAAAATGAAGAAAATGAAAACAGGGCAAGGACTCAGGTAGACTCGGTGGTGGGGCTATAAGGAAGGGGTAATTGTGTGCTATTTTAGAAAAAGAGATAAGAAAAGCCATGATGAGGTGACATTTGAGCAGTGACCTGAATAAAGCAAGAAGGGATTCTGGCAGTAATTGAAGAGGCAAGCACAGACAGAGAAAATAACACAGGAAAAGCAGACCTTCAGAGGTCTCCCAAGTTGGGGGATGGGAATGGCTCTTATTATGAGAAGAGATTTGGGGTCAGGTAGTTGTCTTCAGTGGCGGCCATTTGCAAAAAGGGCTGACAGCTGAAGGCCACCTTCCAGCAGCACTCCCAACAGCTGGGTGCACAAGAGCTTCCTTCTGGAAGGGTGATGTGGGTGGCACAGCCTCACTTGCAGCACCCTGAGACTGCTTTATTTGCTTTTTCTACAACCTGGCTTACTCCTGTGGAAACTGGTCCTTGCCACCAAAGAATATAGGCAGAACACTGAAAATGTCATCTGAGTTGTGCAAAAGTACACAGGTTGAAATGTTACTTTGGGTTTAAGTAGCTAGAAAAAATAATGTAAATATTGGAATGATGATTCCTGAATAACACAGGTGGAAAAGAACAAAAGTTGAAATCTGAAGGTTCTCTGGAAGGGAGTACATGGCAGCTGGGTGATTTAAAAATGTGACACCAGGAATTCTTTTGCAACTTGATAACACATCAGCACTGCCCACACATTATAGAAACCATGTGAATGAAGAAGGCTGTCATTACAGTTGGAAATTGCTTTCTGATTTTGGCAATGGTTTCCTCTTAGGCCCGGTTCAGATTTCCCAATTTCTGACCAATTCCAACCAGTGATTGTTGTTACTGTGTTTGGAGAAGGTTACTGGAGACTGTGGCAAAAGAATTCTCTGCAATTTTAAGGCATCTTAATCATGATTTGGACAGCACAGAAGCCTTAAACTTAGTAAACTGAGCAGCCATTTCCATAGCAGAGAAACAAGCTTCTGTTCAACCCAGAGAGGGAGCTTTCGGCTGTTGTTTGTTGACCTGAGCAGAGAGAAACAAGATGACAGATTGGATAAGCAGCACACCATGCAATTTATGCCCTTCATGGACTGTCAAACATTAATTTAATGTAATTTTAATCATTACCATCTGGTTCTTATATAGCAAGTCAGGCCCAGATAGATATTTCCTTATCTTGAACTGGTGAATAGAGCTGTTTTTTTGGACAGCAGCCACATCCATATACCCTAAGCAGGGGGCAGAGACATCATGGGAGGCGAAATTTGTACTGATGCCAGGCATGCAGCTTTCAGCAGCCCCAAAAGCTGTAAATGGGACCTGTTGTACATACCAGCCCCACCATGGATCAGTAGCCCCTACTCTGGCCCCACTCATGGAGGCAAAATGCTGAGTCATGTCTTTGTATTCCTGGACATTAACAAAGGGGACTGGCTGGGGATGTTGTCTGGGTGAATTGAGGCATGTGGCTCTGTAGCTTAAACCCCTTGAGCAGCTAAAGTGACTAGTTCATTAAGTAATTATTAAGCACTGACAATGAGGACCAAATGACCTTTAAGGTTTCCTCACCCCTGACAATCTGCAATTCTTTCTGTGGATTACAGTGCCAGACCCAGTTGGGAACATGGAAGAAACATAAAGCAGGATCCCTGCCCTAGAGCTGAACTCCATCTCAGGAGGGATTCTCCTTTCTTCTCAGTCCCTAGACTGAACCTCAGATTATTAGTGTCTAGTAGGGAATAGAAGGGTTGCCAACAAGTCACAAGGGAATGGGGGGTTGAAGGAGGAAGGCCTTCATGTTCCTGAATTTTAATTTTTGCATTACAAAGTAGCTTGGCGCCCACAAGACTGGAGGATGTCATTTAGCAAGCCAGCTCTGGCTTCAGGAGACAAACACTGAGCCTTGTTCATTGCTTTGTGTGCAAAGATCATATGACCTTCTTGAGAGAGGAGAATAAGTTTTCCTCCTTCCTTTGAAAGTAGAAACAGGTCTTTTCCCCTGATTTTCCTGCAGTAAATTTTATAGATATTCTTATTGCCAAAAAATCTAGACAATTTCAGAAAGTTAGAAAGTAACAAATTGGTGACATACAAATATAGACCACTGTTAACATCATTTTAGTACATATGCCCTTACACACACATACATACATACACACACACACACACACACACACACACACACACACACACACACACAATCATGTTCTAGGTAAAGAAGAGAAAAACTTCTTGCTGGGTGAATTTCTTCTCCAGCCGGATATCAGCATGACCAGAAGGAATATTCAGGGACTTCAAGCAGAGAAAGAGAGCATAGTATTGCAAAATTTGCCACTTCAAATTTCAAGGCTCAATGTTCTTTTGAGCTCAAGCTGTGTCTGACCAACCCACCTCTTGGCAACTGCCAAGGACAGACTTGCCAGCCCTTCTGAAATAAGCGGCCACCTCTATTCAGAGTGTGAATCTTGTTTCTTTCTATGAAACATCACATTTTTCCTTTTAAAAATGGACAGAAAACACTTTTCATCGTGGAGGGCAAGGAACAAGTGGAGCATGGAAAAACATTTGCAAGAGGTAAAATGGAGCATGGTAAGGAAACAAAATCATTTTCTGCCCTCCTTTTCTAACTATAAGGTGTTTAACCATTTTTGATATTTTCTTTAGGATTAAAAGAAGAGTATTCCATACAGAACTTTTTTTTATTTTACTGGGGATTGTACTCAGTGGCACATAACCACTGAGCCACATCCCAACCCAGCCCAATTTTGTATTTTGTCAGAGACAGGGTCTCACTGAGTTGTTTAGCACCTGAGGCTGGCTTTGAACTCACAATCCTCTTGTGTCAGCCTCCCGAGCTGCTAGAATTACAGGCGTGTGCCCTGGGGCCTGGCACAAAACCTATTTTGACCTATGTGCAACAATATTAAAATGAATGATCTGCAAGTATATTTTGCCCCAAGTAAACATGAAACTTTGGCTCCCTGATTGGTGGGAAATCCAGTCCTAAACTTTGCAGAATAACCAGAGAAACCCACAGAGCAAGGCCGTTTGCAATGTGGCACAAACAAGGTATGTCTCTGTGAAGAAAGGAAGTCTTCTATCAGTGGAAAAATGCGTGCATTTATTCTAGATTCTTCTGAAACTTAGAACCAGAATAAAAAGATCAAATGTACTGTGAGTCACAAAACTGACATATGAGGACTGGGGTTGTAGCTCAGTGGTAGAGTGCTCGCCTGGCACGTGTGAGGTACTGGGTTCAATCCTCAGCACTACATTAAATAAATTAATTAATTAAATAAAGGTATTGTGTCCATCTACAACTAAAAAATATATATATATATATTTTTTAAAAAGAATACTTTGTGGGCTGGGTGGTGGCTCAGTGGTAGAGCACTTACCTAGCATATGTGAGGCACTGGGTTCGATCCTCAGCACCACATAAAAATAAATAAATAAAATAAAGACATTATGTCCATCTACAGGTAAAAAAAAATATTTAAAAAGACTGACATCTGAGATTTAAGAGGATGTAGAAAGAAAAGGGATGAAGTCAATTAATATTTATTAAGAACCTACTGTGTGTCAGAAGTTGTGCTAAATTCTTTGTATTACCCCATTTTCTTTACAGTAATCTAAAGGTAGATAATATACTAGTATTTTATAGCTAGAGAATAAGATTCAGAGACATTAAGTAACTCTTTCAAGGTTCCACAGCCATTAATTGGCAGAAGTCAATTTAATCTCAGATCTCCTTGGCTCCCAAGTGGCTCTTTTACCCCTATATCACATTCTATGAAAATTGAGTCAGTAGCCCTTGTAAGCTAATGTGTTCCTGTGTACCTGGGTATATTAAGGCAAAGACCAAGGACTAGATAGTTTTTTCTTGGAGAGGCTTTCTTTTGTTTGTTTGGTAGATTAGTTTGGTGTTGTTTGGTTTTGCAGAACTAGGGATTGAACCCAGGAATGCTCTACCACTGAGATACACCCTCAACTTTTTAATTTTTTAATTTGAGACAGGTCTTGCTAAGTTGCTGAGGCTGGCCTCATATTTGCAATCCTCCTGCCTCAGGCTCCCCAGAAGTTGGGATTATAGGCAAATGCCATTGTGCCTGGCACTGAAGTTCCTAGGGGGATTTGTATACTGTTATAGAACTGGAACACATGGTTTCTAAGAATCCTTCTAACTATATGTTCAAATAAGGCCTTGCTAACTAAAACCTGCTACTCTTACATGTCTTTTAGGACATCAACCATGTTTATAATTAGAATTACTTTTTCAGCTAAGGCATTGTCCTCAAAAAAGGAACGAAGATATATCCCATGACATTTTCCTAGAAGACTAAATCCAGCAGATGTTGTTAGTACCCGACATAGTCCCCTCATCATTCACCATTCTCAAACATGCCATGCAAACTTGTTATAAGCACCCCAAATTCTCTACCTCAGGGTTTTCCTTTGATTCATTCTCACAGTGTAGGCCGGAAGTACCGGAAAGTTAACATCCTTGGAAGCACACTCTAGCTAATGACAGATATTAACCAGAAGACAAATATTTCTGCTTTCAGAGCTATCCCAAACAAGATGACGGAAGCAGGAATGGAACCAAGTTGCCCACTGGGGTCACCTGTCCTTTATTTAATACCCCCTTTATTGCTTTTCTCCAACCTTCCTGTCTCATTTCCCCAAATCCTTACTGGTACTTTCAGGGATCACCTCCAAAATGCAATAGTTGTTCTCAAGGCTTTGTCTCAGAGTCTATTTTTGAGGAAACCCATATCTGAACCTTGGCATTACTGACATTTTGGCCTGGAGAATTCTTTCTTTGGGCCACAAAATCAAACCCAGCTGAGAAGCACTGTTTCCTTGAGGTGCCTGTGGGAAGCTTGTGTGGAGGGGTAGGTCTGAGGCAGGCCTGTTGGGGTGGGCTGTGGGTGAGCTTAAGTTTAGTGGAGGGCACAGGTTGGGTGAGGAGGAAGGTGTGTGTGTTTGTGTGTGTGTGTGTGTGTGTGTGTGTGTGTG